ATATAATATATTATAATATATATATATATATATATATATATATATATATATATATATATATATATATATATATAAATGTACTAATATATATACATATATATATAATGTACTAATATAATAATATAAATGTAATATTAGAGTTTGAGGTGATTCCCTAATTATTTCAAGCAGTATTTTTCATACAGAGGGACATATACAACATGCAAAATCTATAATCAAAATAAATCGCATTGATTTGTTGAGTTTTACATTTCTATCTACTACATTAAAATAGTGTATTCACCACCATTTAATTTGAAAAGTTTTCTCACTCACCGAGACCCTGTCGACTCAGAGTCGGCCGCGTTCTGATTTCGATTCTGTAACAAAAAGATAGCATTGTTGATTAGTTTTAATAGTCTGGTTCGACAGAAAAATGCGCGTAAGATAATCTCTTTGCGATCGTAATTCAACGATTTTTATTTCGGAAATTGTATTTTGGTTTTCGATTGCAAAGAGTAGAATAAAGAAATATAAGGAATATATATACAAACCTTCGAGCCGACTCTGCTTGGCCCGAATCGAATCCTTCGATACTGCATCCGCCACCACCAGAATCGCAGACGCTTTCGCCACGGCTGCAAGCTCTATTAGATCTGAAATAGAAAATATTTTTCTAATTAATTATGATAATAAAGAAATTAGTCGATTCCGAGCTCGTCGACAATAAGAACTCGATACAGAAGTATTAAGAGTACGCGATTCGATTGTAGATTATGTCTAAGATTATATATTTTTCTTTCATATATTAATAAAATTAATTTTTAATTAATATGTAATAAAATAATTAATTTTTAATTAATCTGTAATAAAATTAAATGAAATATGTAATAAAATTAAATCACCCTTAAATATATATATATATATATTTTTTTTTTTTTAATGCTCGCAATGCTTGCACTGCTCGCGACGACCCCAGCACGATGATCGTACTCGCGAAACAACGTGACTTGTCTTATGAACATTCTAAACATTTCTAGACAAAGTGAAAAATAATGCGCGACGCGATCCGACCCGTTCGCTTGGGCGACAAAGACTGTGCAGAGGAGCGCGACGCGTGCCTACGTGCGTGTTGATTGAAGGTCGCGCAACCTTCAGCGCGCCGAGTCGTGCTTCTATACCCTGTGACGTGACGTGTTTCACTATTTTACATATGTATGTGTTCTATATTATAATATCGATACGTCACATCACATTATAATATTTAATTATCTATCACGTGTCCCGATATTGCGTTTACCATATATACGTACTATATATGTACCGATTATTGAAATCTAAAAACCACGAGCGATATCAAGACTGTAAAATATTAAATAAAAAAATATAATAAGTTTGTGAATTTTTATACCTCTGAGGCAACTTCGCCTGAATCTGAACCTCCGATATATTGTGTCCATGCACGTTAAAATGCAGCAGCTTCTTCGGTGTCGCAAGCTCTAGCATGTCTGAAACAGCAAATATTTTCCTAATTAGTCACAATAATAGAGAAATTGCTGAATTACAAACTCGCCGAGGCAACAAGAATTCGATATAGAAGTGTCAATAATGCGCGATTTAATTATAGATTATGTTTGAGGATATATTTCTCTTTCATGTATAATGAAGTGTTAAAATGCGACAATCACCTGTAAATTTCGGTATACTCGCACTGTTCACGATAATCGTACTCGCAAAATAACACAACTTGTTCGAATATTTTAATTAACTTGACAAAGTCAGAAATAGTCAAAAAGCACGCGACGAATCCGACGCCTTCACTCGGGCGTCAAAGACTAAACTGAGACGGGAGCGCGACGCGGGACGCGTGTATGTATACCTTTCTCTCTCTTTGTTGTTAATAGCCGACGCTACCTCACGAAAAAAAACATGCTCTCTTCCTTTCTCTCTCTCTCTCTCTTTCTCTCTTTATCTTCTACGAGATTCGATATCGCGAACAACCTCATTGTTTTTTTCTTTTTCCCTCCGATTCCGTCACCGTATTTTTAACTCTCGATTAATGAATCCGATGATCGCTCGATTCTATTGCTACTTGATTGAGTCGATAATAATAGCTAGTATGAGAGACACTATCTCGACACGTCATGACAAATATCGGTGATGTATATCGAGAGTTAAGATTACTTCCTAATAATGTACTCATGATAGCATTCGATAAATATCGATTTATGTGTCTAAAACGGTTGCTCGACGTAAAAAGATCGATTTCAAACACGGCTGCGTAATTAATGATGTACGCCGACAGTTAGCACCACACGCGAACTGTATCGCGATCCGACAAGAACGCGCTATATACTCCTCTCTCTCTCTCTTGCTAACTAACCGATACTACTACCACAGATTCGACGCCGCGAGTATTTTTGGCGTCGTATTATCTATCTCTTTCTTTAAATGCTACCGAATTTCCGACTCCTCATTAACAAATCCGTCAAATTCTATTACTACTCGAGTCAGTCGATGGTAAAAACAAGTGTGAGAGACGCCGACTCGACACGTCGCGACGGCAGCACGTAACGAGAAGATTATTCGCTACTTACGTATCTACGATTCGTCTCGACAGTCGCACGTCGCTATTTCGGCACTTCCATTCCATATTTATTCACGCATGAGACTCATTTACGACAAGCAGAAGATACATAAAATGCGTAGAGCGATATCTATCGATGTGTCTACGACGGTTGCTCGATGCAAAGAGATCGATTTCAAACATGGCCACGTAATTAATGATGTACGCCGACAGTTAACGCCACGACGCAAACTGTGTCGCGATCCGACAAGGACGCGCTATATACTCCCCCCCCCTCTCTCTCTCTCTCTTGCTAACTGACCGATACTACTATCTGAGATTCGACGTCGCGAGTATTTTTGGTATCGTATTATCTATCTCTTCTTTTAACTGTTACCAAATCTCCGACTCCTCATTAACAAATCCGTCCGATTCTATTACTACTCGAGTCAGTCGATGGAAAAAACAAGAATGAGAGACGCCGACACGTTGCGACAAGCAACGGCAAGCACTTAACGAGAAGATTATTCGCTACTTACGTATCTACGATTCGTTCCGACAGTCGCACGTCGCTATTTCGACACTCTCGATACTTATTTACGCGCGAGGCTCACTTACGACAAACACAAGACGCGTAAAAAGCGCAGAGCGACGTCGATCGATGTGTTAATGGCGGCTGCTGGATACAAAGAGATCGACACCGAGGATGGCGCCAATTGCTCGCGTACACCGCGCGCGACTACAACGCCGCCCTCTGGATATTTAGTTCCGCTCAATTCGATAGATTAATAATCGATAGATGGGGCGATAGCTCGACATCGATAGTTGACGCGATTTGTCGTACCAACATTCTAATTAATTTAATCTATAATCTAAGAATCACGTCGTGCATAAAATGTTCAAGCATTCATAGAAAGAAAGAATTTCTCAAAATCAGAAATAATGAACGATGCGATTGTGACCACAAACTTTAATGACAACAAGGACGGTATATATATATATATATATATATATATATATATATATATATATATATATATATATATATATATATATATATATATATATATA